CATTAGCAAAGTCTGCTTTCTCCCCCTATAATTTTACCTTTGCCTGAAACCAGCTAACATCTTTCTTCTGTCGAAATTAAAGTCATTTCTTTTATTATGTGGTCCCATATCTCTCTCAAATTGTATAATGAGGAAGAAAGTCTTCCCCAGTTCATTCCTGCCTGTATTTCCATAGAATATTTTAGGCATGTCAGCTGTTAGGGCTCTGATCAAGGATTTACACAGTTGGCCTCCTCTCGCCTGAATTGTGAGTCTGAAAAAGTCTAACCTTCAGTAGTAACATTTAGTTTTTACAGTTAGAATCATTATTTTGTGTCTTTAAATCCTGTTGTATTTTTAAAAAGATTTATGTAACTGGGGAAAGATGATAATAAGTAGATGCTTATATCAGTAAAAGCAAGGTGAAAGTTGGTGAAGTGTTGGGAGGATCGCAGTGATATTTTGGAGTTGAGTTGTTTTTTTTTTTGTGGGACTAGGACTTGAACTCAGGACTTCGATCTCTCAAAGCAGGCACTCTACAGCATGAGCCATACCTCCGGTCCATTTTGCTCTGGTTATTTTGGAGATGGGGTCTTGAGAACTACTTCCCTGGCCTGGTCTTGAATCTTGATCCTCTGGATCTCAATGTCCCAAGTAGCTAGGATTATAGGCATGAGCAGCTGGCAATCAGCTCTTTGTTTTGTTTTGTTTTTAAAGGAGTATTGCTGGAGATGTAGCTCAGTGGTAGAGTGCTTGCCTAGCATATGTGCAAGGCCCTGGGTTTGATCCCCGGCACTACAAGGAATAAAATTAAAAAGGAAGTTTGGGTAGATGCATTTTACCTTCTAGTTCCTTTTATCTTTCACCTGTCAGTATTGTTTTTCTCTCCCTCCCATCCACTGTTAATCCTAAATAAAATAAATACTGGTTTTCTAGAAGACCTGGTTTTCTCAGGCAAAATATAAATATTTTGCCTAGCAAGCACAAGGCCTTGAGTTCAAACCCCAGTATTGCCAAAAAACAAAAAACTAGAACATGGACTGGAGGTGTAGCTCAAGTGGTAGAGCGCCTACTTTGCAAGTGTGAAACCCTGAGTTCAAACACCAGTCTCACCACCCAAAAGAAAAAATCAGTTGGAAAAATAAATAAATGAGAAGACCTAGAAAAGTAGCCAAATAACTTTCATTGAACTCAAGAATTTCTAACCTAGTGTTAATTGAGATATTTTTTATTCTCTTTAGGGTGTTTGTGAACCGAAGTTTAGCCATGGAAAAAATAAAGTGTTTTGGTTTTGATATGGATTATACCCTTGCTGGTGAGTAACAATTTATGATTACTTAAGAATTGCTGTTTTAAATATAACACAGGAGGTCTATTTAATAAATACTTGATTAAATCACTTGTTTGGCTGCCGGAAGCTCTTATTGTCAAACTATCTTCATTGAGATTTGTGAATATTAATATTATTTGATACCCTTGAGATTTGGTCATGAGCTTGTATATATAAGTAGAAGAAATCCTAAATCATTTTAGAGACCCTGGTATGAAAGTATTTGGTAAAATTGTACATTAATGTATGTATATATATATATATATATATATGAGCATTTTTGGCTTTTACTCTGTTAAGCTGCTCTTCGGAGGTGAGATTTTGCACAGCTCACTCTGCTATAAGGTGAACTATTATTAGTTAAGTTTTTAAACATATTTTGTTTTTGTTTATCTTGCTGGGGATTGAACTCAAGGCTTTGTGCATGATTAAGCAGGCATTCTACCACTGAGCTAATCTCCATCCCCTTAGCATGTTATTCTTAATTCAAGTGGGAATATGTTTATTTTCTATTGAATTGATTGTATACACAATATGTAAAAAGCTTTTTAAAAATTGGAGCTATTGGGCTGGAGGCATAGCTCAAGCATTAGGGTGCCTGCCTTGCAAGTGCAAAGCCCTGAGTTCAAACCTTAGTACTGCCAAAAAAATCCCCAAACTGGAGCTACTAAGCTTTGTTCATTATAACATAGACCTTAAACACCAAAACAATACTCTTTCCTCCATAATCATTGTATTTGTCAGTAATTATAGCATCTCTTCAGAAACAGAGTAAAATACTGCAGTGTGATGAAGAGGTTTAATTTAAGAGGTAGTAGGGATGAGAGATCAAGTTGAGTACATATTCATGTGTGTTCACACAGGTACAATTATGACACTCAAGAAAGAATCTGGAAATTGTCCTTAAGAAAATTTTTTCTTTAGCTGGATGTGGCAGTGCATGCCTCTAGTCCCAGCACTCACAAAGCTAAGGCTGGAAGATTGCTGGAGCCCAGAAGTTTGAGACCATCCTGGGCAAAGGCAACATAGTGAGATCTCTCTCAAAAAAAAAAAAAAAAAGAAAGAAAAAAAATTGTCTTTACGCACATAGAACTTTTAAATGTATACTTTTCTCAGTAACTCTTTTTATAACAGAATCAGAAAACCAGCTTCCATTTCAGACAAATCTCAATTTGATATTCAATTTGTCTACAAATGAAAGTGAATAATCTTTTTTTTTCTTGGCAGTACTGGATTTTGAACTCAGGGTCTCAGGTTTTCTAGGCAGGTGCTGTACTCCTTGAGAGAGCTAGCCCTCAAAAATAAATAGTCTTAATGTATAAATATGAATGCATACAGATACTTTTCACATAGATGTACCCATGATTGTTCCCAAATAAATAATTTATTAAACATATACACAAATACCCTTTGATTTGAATTTTTCTTTTTTTCCATGCTTTATCATATGTTTGTTTTTAATTGCCTCAATGTTGTTTTTATAGCATCTTAATTATGTTTTACTATTCAGATATAAATACTTTCAAGAGCACTTCCAGAAAGTGTGTGAAAGCATTATACTCTCTCAATGTAGATGTTTTGTTCAAATGGGGAGAAAACTCTACAATCAGAAATGCTAGCTCTTGGGATAGGGATGTGGCTTAGTGGTAGAGTGCTTGCCTACCATGTACAAGGCCCCACTTCATTCCCCAGCACCACAAAAAACAAAACAAAACAAAAAGTTTTAACACTAGGGAAAGAGAAAGTGGCAAGATAATTTGGCAACTAAAGAAGATACCAACCCAAACAGAAATAGAAGTTATGTTGGTTATTGAGATAATCTCATCGTGCTGAAATTGTTCAATATGTGTTTATTAAGAATCTATAGGAGACTGGTGGTGTGGCTCAAGTGGTAGAGCACATGCCTAGCAAGCAAGAGGCCTTGAGTTCAAATCTCAGTACTGCAGCACCGCCATGCAGCAGTACTGCAGTACTGCAGGGTGGCTCACAATTGTGATCCTAGCTACTCAGGAGGTGTAGATCGAGAGGACTACAGTTCAAGGACAGCCCCATCTCAACCAATAGCTGGGCATGGTGGTATGCGCCTGCTAAGCAGGAAGTACAAATAGAAGATTCACTGGCCTGGGCATAAACACAAGACTCTATTTGAAAAATAAAGCATAAAGCGCTGGGGGCGTGGGTTCAAGTGGTAGAGTGCCTGCCTAGCAAGTGTTAAGGCCCTGAGTTCAAACCCTTGTACTGCCAAAAAAAAAAAAATTTATAATATGCCTGGCACACTTGGAACTTAGCATTGAGATAATTATATATTCCCACAGAGTAATCAGTTGTAAGAAATGAAATCTCTTGTTTATTGAAAAAGTCTTACCAATCTTAGTTTCTAAACTTTAGTGATACCATGTGACCTCTTTTTACTGCTTTTTTTTATAATGCTACTTCATATTTTAGTGCTTTCTTATAGTCTAAACACTAACATTCTTTACATATATATGGTAGTAACTATTAACATTTATTAAGTGCATAGTATATGCCTGGTCATATTCTAAGTGATGTACATAAATTATTTTATGTATGGGTTAGCTCATGGGTTAGCTCATTCACATCTATCATCTGTGATTTATAGAAACTCTGAGATAGGTACTGCTATTATCTCCATTTTATATATGACATTGAGACATTAAGCAATTTGGCCAAAGACATTTAGATGAACTAAACTGAGCTAGTGGTTCATGGCCTATGATCCTAGCTACTGGGGAGGCCAGCCAGGGCAAATAGTTCATGAGACTCCATCTCCAAAATAAACAGAGCAAAAGGGACACAGGTATGGCTCAATCAGCAGAGTGCTTGCTTTGCAAGTGTGAAACCACCAAAAAAAAAAAATCAATTATAGTACTTTAGTTTACTTAATATTAAATATACAGTAATTATTCAAGTGAAATACTTCTAAATATTAACATTTAAAAAATTAATAAACTTGTTGAGGAATGAGTTACATACAGTAAAACACATGTATTTTAAGGAGACAAACTGAAGTTTACAAAGTGTATACACCTATGTAATTACCACCACAATCAACATACGGAATGTTTCCATTCCATTCTTTGAAGTCATTTCTCTCTCACTTTAGATCAGTTTTGCCTTTTGCAGAACTAAATATGAATGGAACCATACAGTGTGTATTCTTTTGGATCTGGCTTCTTTCCCTCCCTCTTTTTTTTGGCAGTACTTGCATTTGAACTCAGGGCCTCATATTTGCTAGACAGGCCCTCTACCATTTGAGCTACTCCTCCAGCCTGGATCTGACTACTTTTACTCAGCATAATGCTTTATGATTCCTTCATGATGTTGTGTCAAACGGTAAAGTAGTTCATTTTTTCATACGTAACATTAAAACAATTTTTAAGTTTGAAATAATTTTACAGCTTCAGAAGAGCTGCAAAAATAATATGGAGAATTCTCCTTTCCTCTTTCTTGATGTAACATCTTGGTTGACCATAGTACAATTATAAAAAAACTAAGAAATTAACACTGGTATAGTATTACTAATTGAACTACAGGCTTTTTTCTGTTTTTATCAGTTTTCCACTGATGTCCTTTTTCTGTTCCAAGATGTAATCCTAAATCCCACATTGCATTTAGTTGTCATATCTTCTTATTCTCTAGTGTGTAATATAGTTCCTAAATCTTCCCTTGTTGTTTAATGCTTTGATGCTTTTAAAAAGTACTGCAGTGTTAGGTATTTTGTAGAATGTTCCACAATGTGGGTTTGTCTGATGTTTTCTTATTACTAGATTGAAATTCTTATTTGGGAAGAATACTACAGAAGTAATATACTCTTTTCAGAGTATGAAATTGTGGGGGTTGGGTCATTTTTGTTGCTTTCAGTTTGGGACTGTCATGAATAAAACTACTATGAATATTGGTGTACAAGTTGTTTCATGGATATACATTGTTTGTTTCTGTCCTGGATAAAAGCCTAAGAGTGGAATTATTCCCTTATAAAAAACAAATGGTTTTCAGAATAGTGATTCCATTTTCATTCCAGCCAGCTGCCCCTGACAATTAGTTGGTCCTCTTCCCACCAAAACCTCTTTTACGTTTAGCCATTCTAGTGAGTGTGTGGTGATATCTCATTGTAATTTTACTTTGTATTTCCCAGATAACTACTAATATTTAATGTTTTCATGTATTTATTAGCTATTTTCATTTCTTTTGTGAAGTGCCTACTCATTGTTGACTTGTACAAGGTCCCCCAAGAGTTCTTCATATATTCTGAATACTAGTCCTTTGTCAGATAGATTAGTCTGTGTAGACATTCTGTTCCATGGATCTAAGTGAGTATCATATGATCTTCATTATTGTGGATTTTCTTGAAGCTAGGTATGTTGAATCCTCAAATTTTATTCTTTTTCAGAATTGTTTTTGTAGGCTAGACTCTGTTTCTATATAAATTTTAGAATTACTTTATCAGTTTTCTTGAAAAAAAAAAAACCACTGGAATTTGGATTGGGATTGTCTTAATCTCTAGATTAGTTTTTGGAGAATTGATATCTTAACTATATTGAAATTTTCAGTCCACAAACATGATCTATCCCTCCATTTACCTAGTCTTCTATAGTATCTGTAAATGTTTTGTGACTTTTGGTATAATGGTCTTTGGCCCATTTTTAAAAATTTGCCTGTTAAGTACTTTAAATCTTTTACATAGTCATGACAATTTAAATTTTCATTTTCTAATTTTTGTTAGTATTTAGAAATGCATTTCTTTTGTGTATATATATATATTGACCTTGTATACAATATATTTGTATATTTTGGCATTGCTGAATTCATTTATTAGTTCTAGTAGCTCTTAGAATTGTCTACGCATATGATTATATCACCTACAAATTATTTATCTATTTACCTTTCTTCATTGACCAAAACCTGTGTGACTAAGACAATATTGAATAGAGGAATTAAGAATGGACTCGCTTATGTTTTTGAGC